ATAGTTAAACTTTATAAGGCGAATTAGTGCACAAAGCAAAACTTGATATAACTCGATTTACAAATATATTATCATCATCATCATCATTACAGCCCTTCACAAGTCCACTGCTGAACATAGGCCTCCCCCAAAGAATGCCACAAAGCACGGTCCTGAGCCACCTGCATCCATCGACTTCCTGCATATCTTACCAGGTCGTCACTCCATCTAGTGGGGGGACGCCCTACACTTCGCCTGCCGGTACAAGGCTGCCACTCGAGAAACTTTCTTCCCCATCGGTTGTCGGTTCTTCGAGCTATATGGCCGGCCCATTGCCACTTCAGCTTACTAATCCGTTGGGCTATGTCGGTCACTCTAGTTCTACTGCGGATATCCTCATTTCTGAGTTTATCACGCAGAGAAACTCCGAGCATAGCCCTCTCCATAGCTCGCTGAGCGACCTTGAGCTTCCTCATCCGGCCAGCAGTGAAGGACCACGTCTCAGTTCCGTATGTCATCACTGGCAACACGCACTGGGTGTACAGTCTCGTTTTCAAGTTTTGAGGTATACCTGACGAGAAGGTGTGTCGTAATTTCCCGAACGCTGCCCAACCGAGTTGAATCCGTCGATTGACCTCTCGGTCGAAGTTGGACTTACCTAGTCGGACTATTTGTCCCAGGTAAACATACTCGTCTACAACTTCGAGCTTAGTGTTCCCTACAACTACCGGCATAGGTGTGACATGGACATTAAACATGATCTTTGTTTTGTCCATGTTCATCTTAAGACCTATTCGTTGGGAAACACTATTGAGGTCATTGAGCATAGTGCTTAGGTCCTCCAGCGATTCTGCCATAAGGACAATATCGTCGGCAAATCCAAGGTGAGTGGTGTACTCGCCATTGACGTTGATACCGTATCCTTTCCAGTCCAGTAGCTTGAAAACATCTTCCAATGCAGCGGTAAAGAGTTTCGGGGATATGACGTCACCCTGTCTTACACCTCTCTGCAACCCTGTCTTACACCTCTCTGCAGTAATATATTAACAAATATATTAATATTAATAAAATAAAACATACATTGTTTACTTTCATACTACCAATGCCAAACACATAATAGTCTATAATTTGTTTACATTCATATTTCCAATGTCAAACACATATTAGTCAAGTCAAACAGTCGCACAGAGTAGACAATGTCGTCAATTAATTTTAAAATGTTGCCAACAAATAGTTACTCATTAACTGAATGAGCTATGAATTTAGTGTGATTTATAAATGTTCCTTTTTGAAAAGCCCGTGTATGTTAAGGCAAAAAAGCGTTTTTTATTTAAATATTTGTATTTGTTTTGTTTAATCTTTGTTTTTTAATATTGTCTGTATATTAATGATGTTTATATATTTATGTGAGTTGAAGGTTGATGAAAAACTTGCTTATTATATAAACTTAAAACTTTAACGAATTATTGTCGAATTTCGACCATATGGACCATCAATAGTATCTATTTCTGGGTAATTTAGTTAATAATATTAATGCTTTAAGTTTTGTTATTATTAAATATTTTACGTAGGTATTATAAGACAGTGTCATATTTATAAGTAAGAGCTTAATTGTTATAATTATTATATAATTCGATATTATTCGGTTTATACTTGTCATTGTTATCAGCGTGATAATCCTAACCTCAAAACCAATAGTATTAACGAGTGCGCGGACATTCATTTTTTGTTATTTGAGGTGATGATAGTCCTAATGTCACAGTTAACCATGTTTTCCTTCAAAGTTTTACTATTCAACGGTTTGATTTAAGCGGAATTAAATAATTTCTGTATCTGAGAAACTTACAGTGGTATTACTTGAAAATGGAATTTAATTTTATAGACTATAGTAGCACATGATTTCACGGTTTCATCTTCTTAATGAAATAGGGATGATTTTTAACTTCAATGGGCTAATAAAACATGCTTGATTGGTTCTTTTGTGAGGATTTGTGGTCTATTAAATTGGATTTAATGACGGGGGTGATCGTGAACTTGGTTTCAGTTCAGATTCGGAATATAAAGCTGACGTTAAATTACTGGGAATACACTAACAGACAACAGAGTCCACTGCTAAACATAAGTCTCTCCCAAGTAATGCCACAATCACGGTTTTTTTATAGGATAGGGTGACAGACGAGCACACAGTCTACCTGATGGTAAGTGGTTGCTGTGACCCATACTCATCTACATCTATCCTCAATAAAGAATCAAAATGCAGATGCGTTGTCACCCGTGAAGAAGATGGAATACCTCTTTACCAGTAAAAAGGGTCTCCGGTTCTCTACACTCACCATACGCAATACAGCAGTGTTAAGCTGCTATTTTACGCTGTTATTCTGAGAGATTGTGGTCCTTCCCCAGTCGAGCCGATATATTCGTACTAAAACTATACTAAAATGTAACTGCGGCATGGTTCTTACCACGTATAAAATTTAATTTAGTGAGAGGCCGTCCACACTCTGCTTGCCTGTACGAGGCCACCACCATAGAACTCTAGATATGCTTCATTCTATACGGTGAATATTCCACGGTGCTACTCGTAATCGTCATGATTATGATGTCTTTTGTCTGCTTATGCATGTCTGTAAAATAAATGTTAAGGATAAATCTTTTGGTCTTTTCTCCACAAAGACCTTATGCAACCCACGTAAAAATATGAACGACGTGGTGCTGCATTAGTTAAGCTTTGGCTACTATAAAAAATGCACTACTACTGCTACAGCAAAATAATGTGTCCGCTGTAAGTATTTTAAAAATCTATAGGGCAATAAACATTTAGATTCAGAACAGTGTTATTTTTGCAACTGATATGAAAAACGTTTCCATATTTTAATTGCACGGGAAATTTCTTTAAGAACTTATTTTAATGGAAATCCATGAATTCCGTTACCAAACATATTGTAAAATAAATGGAGTTAACGTAAAATAAAATAAAAACGATCCTATCAACGTACATAGGGTTCGGTTTCAAGTCTGTACAAAACTGCGAAAACTAAATTCATACCATTTAACGTTAATATTACATTATATTATATTATGTCATTATTATCTTGTTTACATTAAAAGTAAATATCCAGACCGGAGGCGGGCAGTAGCGTTAAATTTGCGAGACCTCTGCTACTACGATCGCCAGTCAATCCGCTTGCCAAGTATGACGATTAAGATCGGCATGTATGCCTTTGTTCAACAGTGGACATTTACGGGCTGATGAGGAAGATGAAGAGGTGCCATCAATACTATTCAATATTATTTTATGATTGAGATATTTTTAAGGTAAATATTTTTTTTATAGGATAGGGTGACAAACGAGCACACAGTCCACCTGATGGTAAGTGGTTGCTGTGGCCCATAGACATGTAGGAGCTGACTCCATATGCGTCTCTACTGGTGACCATAATGAAAGATTGCATAACTTTATGACATATTTATTGTAGAGGAGCGTGTAATACAGTTGACGGGCAACTAGCTACTGTCTGACTGAATGAAAATCTTAGTACTAAGTAGAGAGGTACAATATTATTAAGTATACATATATATGGTAGCTAGGTATAACATTACTAATTATACATGTGTGTGCCCAGCACACCTACATTACTTCCCCCTTTACAAAAAGAATACAAAAACTTAAAACTATATAAACACTTGTTAATGCGCTGAAGCGCAGGGCTGTACGGAGATCCTCACGAAGGGAGCGGCTGCCACGGCAGGCGCGGGCACGTGCTGCAGACTGGTGCTAGAGGCGCCTATCATCTGACCCATATTCTGGCCCGACATTGGAACGCTGGCCATGAACACTTGATGGCGAAGCCAGTTTTTGAACTTCTTATTAAACTTCATCCAAATAGTATACAATATTATTGCTCCCATAAAACTGGCTATCACATATAACCATATTTGAAAACGAATAGTATCTCTAATCTTATCTACTAAACAATAGTCGTTGACATTACAGTTGTTCGAAGAGTTGTCATAAAAGTCTCCTGGTAGACGTAAGTTTCGTCCGAAAGTTAACTCGGCGGCGCTAACCCCTGAGTCGCTGCGGCCGGCCGCGCGAAGCCCCAGTAATACCGTGGGTAGCTCTTCCACCCAAGATCCATGTGACAGGCGAGTCGAAAGTGCTGTCTTTAAAGAACGATGCCAACGTTCGACTGCGCCATTGCTTTGCGGGTGATAAGGAGTAGTTCGAATTCTATTAACCCCCAACATTTTTAACAGCTGGTTAAAAAGACTACTCTCAAACTGGCGACCTTGGTCGCTAGTTAACTTCATCGGGCAACCGTAACGACAAATCCAACCCTCATATAAATGTTTGGCAACAGTTTCTGCCGTAATGTCGCGTAACGGAAATGCTTCGGCCCACCTAGTTCTCCTATCAATTATCGTGAGTAAGTATCTATAACCATCTGGTGAAATCTCAAGAAGCCAACGATATCGATGTGCACATGCTCAAAACGATCTACTCCCGAAAAATTAGTCAATTTCGATACCGTATGTCTGTTAACTTTAGAACGTTGACATAGTATGCACCTTTTTGCCCATAAAAAAACATCACGATTCATACTCGGCCAGAAATACTTTTTAGGTAACATCTTTCGTGTAGACCGAATTCCAGGATGGCTCAAATTATGCAAACTATCAAAAGCTAGGCGTCGAAACTTTTCCGGTAGGTACGGACGAGCTATATGGTAGACATTTCACAAAAAATTTGCTTGTCTAACATAGGTATAACTAGTTCTTTCAACAAAATATTATCGGTATTTAAACAAGACATAAAATTCGTAATATAACTATCGCTACGCTGTTCATTTGCAATGTCATCGAAATTCAACGCAGTTGGCATAATCACGGCTTCGACGCGTGATAAGGTGTCGGCTACAATGTTATTCTTACCGGTTATGTTTTATATTTGTAGTGAACTCGCTTATGAAAGCTAAATGTCTCGTTCTCCGAGGCGTTTCGCTTTCATCGCGTCCTACCTTTCAAAATGCTAAAGTTAAAGGTTTATGGTCCGTATACACGGTTATTTCTTGACCTTCAAATAATTTCCGAAAATGTTTTATAGCTAAGTATATAGCGAGCAACTCGCGATCGTAGGTGCTATATCGCTGTTGGGTGGTGGTCAATTTTTTTGAGAAATAACCCAATGGTTTCCAGATATCTCCTTCCTTTTGTTGCAAGACTGCTCCCACGCATGTATTAGATGCGTCAGTCATTATAGCAAGTGCGGAATCCACTCTAGGGTACGTCAATGTAGCGGCCTGTGTGAGACCTGCCTTACACTGCGTAAATGCTTCGTTCGCACTATCATTCCAGACGATAAGAGTTTTATCATTTTTCTTTGAGCTTTTAAGATATTTATTTAATTCTGTTAGATATAAAGTAGCACTGGGGAGATGAGATCGATAAAAATTAACCATGCCGAGAAAACGTCTTAGCTCTGAAATAGTTTTCGGCTTCGGAAATTCCACAATTGCCTGAACCTTATCTTGCAACGGCCTGACACCTTCAGTACTAATTTCGTGTCCCAAAAATTCTAGTTTTATTTGTCCGAAACAACATTTTGCCAAATCAATTGAAATTCCATATTCATTAAACTTTTTAAAAATTATTTCTAAATGTTGCCTGTGTTGAACTTCGTTGTCACTAGCGATAAGTAAATCGTCTAAATAACAAAAGACAAAATCAAGCCCTTGTAAAATGGAATCCATAAAGCGCTGGAAGGTTTGCGCTGCACCCCTGAAACCGAAGGTCATTCGGGGAAACTCGAAAAGCCCAAGTGGTGTTATGATAGCGGTTTTCTCCACGTCACCTAGCGCGACAGGTATAAAATGATAACTTCTATTAATATCTAATTTCGAAAATATATTTTTATCCGGGAGAATAAAAGTAAAGTCATTCAAGCGAGGAATCGGGTATCTGACGGGCTTTGTTATCGCATTCAGCTGGCGATAGTCCCCACAAGGTCTTATATCTCCATTTTTCTTAGGAACTACATGGAGTGGACTAGCCCACGTGCTCTTCGAAGGACGACAGATGCCCAGTTCCTGCATGATGCGAAATTCTTCTTTAACTTTTTTATACCTGTCGGGTGGCAACAGGCGCGCTTTCGCGTGCACAGGGGGACCAGAGGTCTCGATATGGTGGACGACATCGTGTTTCGCAGTTTCTCGGAATGACGCCGGTTTAGTAATGTCCGGGTACTTTAACAATAAATCCTGATACGGATGATTCAAATCAATAGTTTTAACACTAGGTTGGGATACCTTGACAACAGATGCCGAAACTTTCAATTCTGTGGTTTTATCTATTAATTTACGCGCGTTTAAATCAACTAGTAACCTGTGATAGGCTAAAAAGTCTGCGCCCAAAATTGGTTGTTTGACATCTGCTACCACGAATTCCCAACGATAAGGCTACGACGTAAGTTTAAATTTAACACTAGTGTCTTGGTACCATAAGTTACGATTTCACTACCGTTAGCTGCGTATAATTTATATTCACTGCACTGGTTTGCACGGTCTTTTCTCACAGCTGGTAAAACAGACACATTGGCACCTGTGTCGACTAAAAATCTAAGCCCAGAGTTAATATCTGACACACACAAACGATTAAATGGAATAATGGTACAGACCTCAAGATCCTCGGACTGTACCTCGCCGCTCTGTTTTCCGGCAGCTTATGTTTCCACGCGCACGGTTCCGTACACTTGTTGGCTTTTACCCTGAATCGGTAGTGGTAGAAGCACAAGTAGTTCTCCTTCTTGGGACGGCGGGAACCGCTACAGCGCTGGGACTGCGAACGATGACGGGTGCGATCAGGTGCACGAGACCGCGACCTCCGCTGATCGATCTGGTTCACGGTAGCCTTTATTTTAGCCACCTCAGCCCTTAACAGGGCCAAGTCAAGGGCAGCAGAAGATGCCGGCGCTGATGTCCTGGACGAGTGGCACGTTAACAAGCGGCACGTTTTGTGGCGGAAGCGGCACACTCATGTTACTATTATGAACTGTCCGTCCGATCACAACACACGCGAAAATTGCCCACTACTGTAATAATATCACGTCGATCACGTCGGTCACGTCGATCACGTCGGTCACGTCTATCACGTCGGGTCACCAATTTAGGAGCTGTCTCCATATGCGTCTCTACGGGTGACCATAATGAAAGATTACATAATTTTATGACATATTTATTGTAGAGGAGCGTGTAATACAGTTGACGGGCAACTAGCTACTGTCTGCCGTGTAGTGGCGGTCAAGAATACCACTACCCCATATCCTCCCGTGGGTGTCGTAAAAGGCGACAAAGGGAAACAGGCAGGAGATGGGCAGCAGCATCTTCCTGATAATAGCCAAAATTACAATAAAAAAACTGCGGTTGCCAACCCGCTCGCCAAGCGTGGCAACTATGGCAAATACCCCCCTATGAATGTAACAAAGAGACGGCCCCCAGTCCCCGGCGGCCCCGCTATTCCTGGCTACGGTGGCGACCATGGTAACGGCGGGGCAGGGGGTGCTAAGAATCTCCGGTGGAGGTTCGGTTGCCACCTTAGACGACTCGACCTGGCAACGTACAACGCACGCACCCTGAGGACTGACGAGAAGATCGTGGCGCTGGAAGAAGAGATAGACCAGTTGCGCTGGCATATTATAGGATTATCCGAAGTCCGAAGAGAGGGGGAGGACACGGTAATCCTCGAATCCGGCAACTTGCTCTATCACCGGGAGGGCGACCATCTGTCCCAAGGAGGTGTCGGATTTATCGTCCAAAAGTCTCTCGTTAACAACGTTGTAAAGATCGGGAGTGTGTCGACGAGGGTTGCGTACCTTATACTCAGAATCACCAAACGGTATTCGCTGAAGGTCATACAGGTTTACGCACCAACCTCGGCACACCCCGATGGGGAGGTGGAGGAAATGTATGAGGATATCTCTAGAGCCATGCATTCCTCCAAAACCCAATATACGGTGTTAATGGGAGACTTCAATGCTAAACTAGGCACAAGAGAGAACGGTGAGCTGAAAGTAGGGAAATTTGGAATAGGGCAACGGAACCTAAGGGGCCAGCAGCTGGCCGACTTCATGGAGAAAGAAGGACTCTTTATGATGAACTCTTTCTTCCAGAAGCGGCCCCACAGGAAGTGGACCTGGTCGAGCCCCGACGGTTCGACAAAAAATGAGATTGACTTCATTATGACGACCAGACGACAACTGTTCAGTGATGTCTCCGTGATCGCGAGGGTGAAAACTGGTAGCGATCACCGAATGGTTAGAGGCACGCTGAACCTAAACGTTAAGTTGGAGAGGTCTCGTCTAATGAAGTCAACGCTCCGTCCCCCTCATGCTCTGTTCCAAAGTCCCGAAACCTTTCAGCTCGAGTTACAAAACCGTTTTCAGTGCCTAGAAGACTGCAATGAAGTGGACGATATGAATGACAAGCTCGTGGAAACTGTCCATGCGGTCGGAGCTAAGTTCTGTAAGACCCGCCGCAGAAGAACACAAAAACTCTCCGATCACACTCTTAATCTCATGGCTGTTAGACGGGCCATGAAGCTACATTCTTCAACAGACTTGACAGCATACAGGCATCTGAACAGACAGATCTCCAAATGCATGCGGCGGAACTTACGCAACTTCAATACAGCTCGTATTGAAGAAGGGATCGAGCGGAACCAAGGCTCCAAAGTCTTTGCCAGAGATCTGTCTGCCAGAAAGAGCCACCTGTCAAAGCTGAAGAGAGAATGTGGCAGCATCGTTTCCGGGACACCTGAGATTTTGAGTGAGATTGAGAGGTTCTATGGGCAGCTGTACACGTCATCGTTGGAGCCACACGCAAGTGTGAGTAACGATCCAAGAGCGAGTCTCATCCGACACTATTCCGAAGATATCCCGGACGTCAGTCTGAGCGAGATTAGAATGGCTCTCCAGCAACTTAAAAACGGTAAGGCCCCAGGCGAGGATGGAATTACAGCGGAGCTTCTGTAAGCGGGTGGAAGACCGGTACTTGAAGTCCTTCAGAAGCTCTTTAATTCCGTCCTCCATGGTGGCATTACACCGGAGGCGTGGAGCAGAAGTGCGGTGGTCTTGTTCTTCAAGAAAGGTGACAACGCTCTCTTGAAGAACTACAGACCGATTTCCCTTCTGAGCCGCGTCTACGTGCTGTTTTCGAGAGTCATTACGAATCGTCTCGCGCGCAGACTTGACGACTTCCAGCCTCCCGAACAAGCCGGTTTCCGAAAGGGCTTTAGCACCATAGACCACATACATACCCTTCGGCAAATTGTACAGAAGTCCGAAGAGTACAATTTGCCACTATGTCTAGCGTATGTGGACTATGAGAAAGCCTTTGATTCCGTCGAAATTTGGGCGGTGCTGCAGTCCCTTCAGCGGTGCCAAGTTGACTGTCGGTATATCGAAGTGTTGAAGTGCTTGTACAGTAGGGCTACGATGGCTATCCGAGTACAGAACCAGAGTACGAAACCTATCCAATTGCAGAGAGGTGTAAGACAGGGTGACGTCATATCCCCGAAACTCTTCACCGCTGCATTGGAAGACGTTTTCAAGCTTCTGGACTGAAAAGGATACGGTATCAACATCAATGGCGAGTACATCACTCACCTTCGATTTGCCGACGATATAGTCCTTATGGCAGAATCGCTGGAGGACCTAAGCACTATGCTCAATGACCTCGATAGTGTTTCCCAACGGATAGGTCTTAAGATGAACATGGACAAAACAAAGATCATGTTCAATGTCCATGTCACACCTATGCCGGTAGTTGTTGGGAGCACTAAGCTCGAAGTTGTTGACGAGTATGTTTACCTGGGACAAATAGTCCGACTAGGTAAGTCCAACTTCGACCGAGAGGTCAATCGACGGATTCAACTCGGCTGGGCAGCGTTCGGGAAGCTACGACACATCTTCTCGTCAGACATACCTCAAAACCTGAAAACGAAATTGTACAACCAGTGCGTGTTGCCAGTGATGACTTATGGAACTGAGACGTGGTCCTTCACTGCTGGCCGTATGAGGAAGCTCAAGGTCGCTCAGCGAGCTATGGAGAGGGCTATGCTCGGAGTTTCTCTGCGTGATAAACTTAGGAATGAGGATATCCGCAGTAGAACCAGAGTAACCGACATAGCCCAACGGATTAGTAAGCTGAAGTGGCAGTGGGCCGGCCATATAGCTCGAAGAACCGACAACCGATGGGGAAGAAAGGTTCTCGAGTGGCAGCCTCGTACCGGTAGGCGAAGTGTAGGGCGTCCCCCCACGAGATGGAGTGACGACCTGGTAAGACATGCAGGAAGTCGATGGATGCAGGTGGCTCAGGACCGTGCTTTGTGGCATTCTTTGGGGGAGGCCTTTGTTCAGCAGTGGACTTCTGAAGGGCTGTAATGATGATGATGATGATGATAGCTACTGTCTGACTGAATGAAAATCTTAGTACTAAGTAGAGAGGTACAATATTATTAAGTATACATATATATGGTAGCTAGGTATAACATTACTTATTATACATGTGTGTGCGCAGCACACCTACAGACATCTACATCTATCCTCGTTTGCGAATCAAAATGCAGATGCGTTGTCACCCGTGAGGACTAAGATGGAATGCCTCTTTTCCAGTAAAAAGGGTCTCCGGTTCTCTACACTCACCATACGAAACAGCAGTGTTAAGCTGCTATTTTACGCTGGTATTCTGTGAGAGCGTGGTCCTTCCTCGGTCGAGCCGACCCATTCGGGCTATAACTTTACTACTAATATAGCTGCAGCATGGCTCTACCACGTAAAATTAGGATGACAAATGAGAGTATTAACTTGATGATAAGTATCCACTTGCTGTGGCCCACAGACGCTCACATATATCCTCGATTAAGATTAGATTACTTATTGTTTGCTAGCGAACTTTAGTCTCGGTATCTGTTAAGACAAAAATCTCTAAGAAATTTCTAAGGTGATATGCGTCGTGATATGTCACCTTAGAGGACTAAGATAGAATTTCTGGTTATCCGCGAAAATGGTCTATGCACTCACTATGCGAAACAGCAGCAA